AAAAAAAATAGATATGAATGAAACATTATTGTTATTTTCATTATTTACAGGGGGAAATGAGAAACTTGAAAATAAAGAATTAGTTGCAAATCTTATAGGCACCGCAAGATCTAAGATTGCTAGAAATAGGAAAAACGCTCAAGATCTCTCATTACAAGTATTTACGAATAAGATATGGCATACAATGTTGATGGAAAAAATGACTAATAAAGTTAGACGTAGAGGAGAAATAAGGTACAGTCAATTCACTGAAAATTGGAAGCATTTATTAAAATATGCCAATAAAATAAATTTTGAGACACATGGTTTGGAAAACAATTTGGAGCATTTAAACTGTTGGTCGATATTTCTTTAAGATGTGACAGGGAATGGTGTAAATATGATTTGGAGAACTGGGAATATCAATTGGTTAATAAATTATATAACAAGTAAGATGACAGTTTACTATGTTAAACTTTGTATTTATTATTTATAATATGATGGATTGTCTTTTCTTTAGAAATTAAAAAAATGAATTTGAGCCATTAGCTAAATTCATCCTGTTGGCATTAATTTTATTTATGTTAACTCCTTAGTTAATGCATGTGTACATTTGCTGCTGTAGACCAGTGGTTCCCAAACCTGAGTTCCCAGATGTCGTTGGACTTCATATTTCAGATCTTCCAGCCAGCATGGCAAATGTTCAGAACTTTTGAGAGATGAAGTCTAATAACATCTAGCGACCGAATTTGGGAGTCTTTGCCCTAGACCAGTGGTTTCCAACTTGATTTGTCCTAGATGTTCTTGGACTGCAACTCACAGAAGCCATCATCACTAGTTGTGCTGGCCAGGGTTTCTGGGAGTTGCAGCCCAAAAACACCTGAGTTACCCAAGATTGGGAACCACTGCCCTAGGCCAACGGAATCAAATCACATTGGAAATGAAACATGTGCAACATGGCCTTGTGTCAATTAGCAAAGCTCAGACATCTTGTGGAAGACCTTCCCAAAACCCACCATTCCATATTGTTTGTAACAAAACCATTCGTTCCACTTCCCTCATGTTTATATTTGCCTGGATGACCATCCATCATGTACGGTATGTACTGCAGATAGGAGGAGAAAGATGCCAGTACTTTTTCTGTTGTTGTTTTTTTAAAGATTCAGCATATCTTAAAAAATTAAAAAGTATAGTAGGTTAAAAACAACCAAACACAGAGACATACACATACCAGTATAATATAAAACTACATCTTCCCTCAAGGATAAGTGGTATGAGTAATCAACTGTCATAAAGCTAATATTTAAGTATTAAATAATCATGTTCCTTGAAATGCATGGGAGTGAAGGAACACCTTAATTTGAGGCCCAGATACCTGGGAAGACTGTTTTAGAAAGCACATAGCCAGCATATTCAAAAAAAGACATTTCTTTTTTCATGCTGGAGGGAATGCTTGCATTAACATGACTGATAATTTCTGTAACATGCAAGTGCCTTTATCAAAAATAATTTTAAAAAATGGAAATTGACCTTCCAGATTAATCCAAGGTACCATTTTAGGTTCAATCAACATTTTATTTAATAAAATTTTGCTATTCTAATTGAAATGTAGACACAGTTCCTTTTTTTGCGTAAGATATAAGCAGTGCAAAATTCCACTTTTCTCAGTTTAGAAATCTATGTCTTTCAAGCAGTATATATACAACTTGCAATAATTTTATTTAACATTCCTGGATGAACAGGAATGTACATTGAATGTCATTTCTCACTTTTAAATTTTGTTTTTAAATTCTGTCTTTGATTTATGATGCAGGCATTTGCTTGGTGGCCAGATTTGCTGGCTGAACACGGAGAAAAGTTTTGGTCCCTTTTTACTGTTGACATGGATGCCGCACTGGAAGCACAGCCACAAGACTCCTGGGATAGTTTCCCTCTTTTCCAGTTGCTAAATAACTTCCTGAGAAATGATCGTAAGCTCATTAAATGCTTAGCTGTTGTTACTTATGTTTGAGATTATTCTTGTCTTTCAATCTTTCCTTTCAGCTTTTTGGATGATAAATTTGGAGGGGAGGGGGGATTGCTTATTGTCTTTAATCCTCTTTTTCTCCAGATATTTGTAGCTGTCTGGAGATTGTGGGGCTGCAGCTTCCTGCACAATTGGAGGTGCTGGCTGGGGCTTGAATGAGTTGTAGGCTAACAACGTCTAGAGGGCAAGAGGTACCAACTTCTGCTGCAGATAATCTTGCCCTGATTTTTTTTCTGTGCGCTACAAAATACATATTACCTGGATTAGGATATTTTCTAGCATTTATAATCCTTATACTCCAGAGCAGAAATTTAACAATACGATTGACTTCCCAGCTCTGTCTTTCGCTAGACAGTTACCCCGCATGACAGGGTTGTTTTTTTTGCTAGACATTGGCTTTTTGCAATCGCTATAGTGATTCGCAAAACTGTGATTCTTATGGGGGAATTTCGCTGGACAATGTTTGCTCCCTGCTTCTCAAACTGATTTTCGCTAGACGACAATTTTGACAGCTCCCTCCGCGCTCGCAAACAGGTGTTTTCGGCACCTAAGCTTCGCAAGACAGTGATTTAAACAGCTGATCGGCGGTTCGCAAAGCGGCTTTGCTATGGAAGATCTTTCCTAGACAATGACGATTCTTCCCCATTGGAACGCATTAAACAGGTTTCAATGCATTTCAATGGGGAAATGCTTTTCTCTAGACAATGATTTCGCTAAACAGCGATTTCAGTGGAACGGATTATCATCGTCTGGTGAGGCACCACTGTATTTGATTTATATCCTGCTTTTCCCCCAAAAAATTGCAAGTAAAGTGGCTAAACTGGGATGCAACATAGCTTAGCAAACCTACCCTGCTGACATGTAATTCATTTGAACCATAGTTGCTTCTCAAACGTATTTCAGTATGGGTTTTCACAACAGTTCTTTTCAAATATGTTTTCAAATTCAGATTTGGTCAGTTATGCCTGTTGCCAAATGTCGCAGTTGAGAGACTGAGTTCAGATTACCATCTGTCATCTCAATAACACAAAAGATGTACAGGCTTTTCCCCCCCTATGTATGCTGTCTCCTTGATGATGTGAAGCAATTAAACATGGAAGTCTCCAGTCAACCATAGCTCTAGTTACCAAGTTTAAAACAAGCTAGGATCTTAAGATATGGATATCATTTAAGAGGCTTACTTGTTATGAACCTGGTAAGGATGCTTTCTCTTCAGTCTTTGGGATGGGATTGATACATTTAGAAATTTATTTTACGTGTTTACATTATTTTATCCTGATAGAATGGGAATTACAATTATTTCATACAACCCAGGTAGCACAATCATTAATAAGAGTGAAGAGATCATTTCAGGGAGTGAGCACGGTGGCATGGATAACAAGGGCAGGCACCTAACTACTCTTCCTAGACTCTTCAGCTTTTTCCCTCTGTAGAAGGACACAGCTGTGCACACCACAGCAGTGAGGCTGCTATAAATAGCTTTCTCCCTCATATGTGATGGTGCACACGATCCCATTACTGGTGTTCAAATAAAATTTCACTACCAGGTCATTCAGTTTCTATACATGAACAGGAGAGGAGGCACCATTTTCACCTATCCAGCAACAAAATTCCTTAAGCCAGTCTTACTATTCAAAGGGCAAAGAGCAGGAATTGCACACGCAGGCAAAAGTGGCAAAGGTCTTGTTACACTTTTTTTCCACTTTGGAATCTTTGGAACATCAACTGCAATGTTGAATGGTGGGATGTTGTAACCAAAGGGAGAGATAACTATTAATGTAATGTATTATGTATTAAAGAAATACCTAGAAAAATGTATGTTGACTTGGGCATATGAACGCAGAGATTTTAGTTCCCCCACCCTCACCATAGGTTCAAGGCCTTCTGCTCATCTTTTTCATCCCCTCTTTATATTACCCCTGCCTTTTTCTCTTCAGTTCATTCTCCAAAGGTCATATCTGAGAGTGTCAGTATTCTGTAACACAGTGATGTATTTTCCTTCACATATGGCAAGGGTGATAGTGTTCAAAAACTGTCAGCCACCTGTGAGAATGAAAGTCACTCCTTAACTTCATGACTTAGGCTGCCGGCCTGTAAAACATGGTCTGGATATGACTGAACATAGAATATACGGTGTCAGGATCATAAATTCCCCACAGACCACTAAGTAATACTGACCATGAAAGAGACACACTAAACGCACCTACTTACTTAATAAAAGATTACTGGAAGACTTGAAATTGCACTCTGTCTACCTTTCAGTCAATTAAATATGTAATTACTTTGAATAATTATGTGGAAACCATTTCAGGGGAGGAAGACGTTTTATTAAAATGGCCGAAAATGTATTTTCATAATGAAGTAATTATGAGCAACATTATAAAGAGCTATTGAGGGCAAACCCTAAGCCATTACAATTATAGGGCTAACTGCCCTGGTGCTTTTTTAATAAAAAAATTTAAAAAGACTGGCTCATGAGAGGAGATCTGTTGCTGTCAAGCATTGTAGGGGTGAAAAAGCTTGAAATTCTCTTCTTTGCTCCAAGTCCTTCCCCAAAGTTGACATTGGGGGGCAGTTTTCACCCACCTGGACCTGCTTTGAATACATTTGTGGGTTTATTTTTTGCATGACCTCAGAGAAGCAGCTGCTAACATTGATGGGGCATTTTTCAACAACTGCAGTAAATAGCAAGAGAAGCTATCTGTGATCCTTTCACATTTTTCCCATTACTTTTTTCAGATCACAAAAAGTCTGTTAAGGAGGAAAAGACATGAGTAGCCCAATACCTTTGGAATGGTATCAGTAGAAACCATCTCTCTGGAGGCGCTCATAGGTGCTCACTTTGGCTGTAGAAATACAAGCACATGGCAATGATATTTTGTAAGGGACCACTTCCCAAATAAAACTTTCTCCAAGATTTGGTCTAACATCCACACATTAGAACCATAAAAGTACTCCCAATGCTTATGGTATCAATATATCACTTGACTCCATGGGGACTAATCAGTGCAGTGGCTTAACTGTTATAAACAAAAATCCATTGCTGAAGACTTTTGCCTCTTTTAAAATGAAACTTGTGCAAATCTTTTTTAAAGAAATATCTCAACTGTGTTCTCTTGAGAGTAAAAAGGCTAGTGTTGGTAATAATTAACAAGGAGGGTGAAGTAGAGTCAAATTAACCATAATAGAGCCCAGAGTGCCTGTTAAAGTCACGTCTCATTATCAAAAAGCTCATTAGGAAATGAAGAAGTGAAAATCCCACTGTGGGTTGGTCTCTCATTGAGGCCAATATCAGGGATAATTTTTCAGATTTCTTTTAAAATGTACTACTAGGTCACTGTATCTTACATGGTTAATCTTCAGCATTTGAAACGTGAAGACTTGACACCTGCATGTTGTTCTGTTCCAAGAGCTTCCAGGGAACTCTAAATCAGTAAAGTGAGTTTTTTAGATAAACAGTTTCAGCAGCCCTTACCTGCTGCTCAGGTTTTTTTCTAGGCTGCAGAATTCAAGCTCGTTGTGTCAAAGCCCAACTGCTGTAATTCACCCAATTGTCCATTTTTGCCTTTTTGACAGTAGAATTCTCTTTTGTATAGAGCAGTGGTTCCCAACCTTGGGTAACCCAGGTGTTCTTGGAGTACAGCTTCCAGAAAACCCAGCCAGCACAGCCAGGAACCACTGGTATAGATGAATGAAAGCAAACTTAATTTGCTCCAATAAAAGGAATACATTTTATTTATTTGTTTGTTTGTTTGTTTGTTTGTTTGTTTGTTTGTTTGTTTGTTTGTTTGTTTGTCCCCCGCCTATCTGGTCTACTCGACCACTAGTTTTAGTACCAGTATGTGTGGGGAAATAGCCACACATTATGAATAATGTAGAATTTGAAATTACTTAACTTATTAACCTTGTTAATGCTCAGCCATTATGTCAGAAAAAAAGAAACTGATACACATTAAACATTCTATAAAGAAAGTCTCTCATCCATGTCAGCATAAAAATTTTGGGTCACAGGTCAAGTTCTTCTCTCTTTATGTCTGAAATGGGCTGCATTAATAAAGTTTTCTTTTATCAGCACACTGAAGTTTATCTACTTGCAATACTAGGTTCTGTGTTCAGCACCATACTATTGTTGATACTGCTTGTGCAGCAGCAGCTTCCAAACCAATATTCTGCAATACTTGATGTTAATCAAAATAACCGTGTCTCACTTAGCATGTCACCCAGCCTGGCATGGTGTCCTGCTGTACTAGTAGATGTACAAACCTTATTATCAGACACTAGCATATTAACTCTATGTGTGCTTACTAGCCATGCAATTTAAAACTTTATAAGTTTATACTTTTAGCAAACTAAGACTCATGTAAAGACAACAAATATATAGGAAAATATTCAATGTCATCGGGGGGGGGGGGGGAAATTTTTTTTTTTTTTTTGAAATATTATTTTTTTCATTTCCAAAAGTCAACTTTGACAATTAGTTCCTTTGCCAGCCTTATATGATCATATAGAAATGTCTTGCTATGTAGAAATACCCACATGTAGTTGACCCAGTATGTTTGAGTGGAAGTGAAATGAAGGGCTGAATCCAAATTTCATCCTATTAGGGTATACAAGTCTGTCTGAGATGAACAAGATTTCTTAGCCACAGCAACATAAATCCTATGCAGTGGGTTTGTTCTGTATAGGACTAATGCTGAATTTCATTTTAAGTAGTTAGTGTAGGCTTCACCAATTTGATGTTGTCCCAGTGCTTTGAAATCACTTAAAGAGGAGTGAAAAAGTGGGTCAGGTTCAGAGCACCTGGACCTAATGAATATTTTTATCTGCAGTTAATGGAAGTTGTGGTCCAAAACATCGGGAAAGCATATGTTTTGTTCCTTGGTGGGTGAGGTCCCAGTCTCAAGGTCCTGCAGTACAGGCAAGGGGTATCAAGAAAAAAGCCAG